ATTGGGTAGACAAAGGGAAACAAAAGAGAGAGAGAGGTAAGAAAGATAATGCCAGGAAGGAATGATATTAGATAGATGCCCAAATAAAGGAATTTGGCCAAAATATTTAAAATTAGGCTTACCAAAATTAGGTGGAAAAAAACTGAAACCAAAAAACATAGATGGAAAAGATGTCACCTGTGATTCATTTCCAAATTAGAATAATATTTGTGCCCATTTTAGGAAATTTGTATATCTCCCCAAAATAGTTTGAAATAATTAAGGCCAATTTTACAGTTGAAATGGCTTGATGTAATCATAAGTTCTATGCTAACAGTTTCTTCTCTCACACTTCTCGCTTGTGGAACTTTCTTCCAGCTTCTTGCTGCCTTGTTAACTCTGATCTTAAATGCAATGTCAATCGTTATCTTCAGTTTTCTTAATTTATTGTTCTCTCTCCTTAATAGTAGTAACCTTGCATCCTAGTAGCTTTATTGCCTTGTTTGGAGTGAAATGATATATTTGGGAAGATGTAAAAAAGTTATTGCTCATTGTTTAAAAGAGTGAAAACTTCCTCAACACCAGTCCATGTCATATCAAGTAACTGGAAGTAGACATGGTTCCAAAAAGTAGTAAGGGGTGTGGACATTAAAAAAAAGAGAATAAAAGATGTCTTTTGTTACTTACTGAATTCAAAATCATCTGCAGACAAAAGTCAGTAATTGTGAAATAAGTTTATAGAAACCCAAACTTCAACTTAATTCTCTCTGCCTTTTGATACTGCATCTGTCAATCATGATGACTGATTTTTAAGGTGACATCCTCCCTTGTAGAACCAGAGGAGTAAGAAAAAGTTGATGTGCGTGCATACACACATACGTTTAAGAGTCTGGCCATCAATAGGTATGATGATAAACTACATCTGGCAGCAAAGCTTCTGATCAGGAGATTGGAGGTTTTGATGAGTGTGGAACCACCTCTTAATTTTTGTTGTTTTCAGGTCCAACAAAAACACTATAAAAGTATAAAAATACAATTTAATAGTAAAAATACCAGCAATACATTTTTATATTAAAAAAACCAACAGTACATATAGTAAAATGATCAGCAATAAATTTTATTTGTAGTTGAAGGCATACACTTGCATTCAAAATATATTTAGATGAAGTCTATAAAATTGTGTTCAAAATATTTAGATTTAGGCATTAAATACCCCATAGAGATGTTGACATGCCGCTAAACCCAATCAACCAACTAACTGGCCATCAAAAGTCAACAGTGGTTCAAATATGGAGTTATGTCATATTATAAATATATTATGTTCTGTATATTATCAATATGCAATTGAAAGAATATTTTGTCATAGGAAGATAAATCTTTCAGGTGTCTTTGTTTATTTTTTGTTTTTTTCTCACACTATTTCGCTTGTTCAATTCAATATTTAATCTGTAAAGTAAACAATTTACTTTTAAGTAAAGAAGTTATTCATCTGAGAAAGATTAGAGAATAAGCTAGTTGAAAGATTCTTAAGAAAAGAACCTAAAAAACATCCACTGTACCCATGGGCAAGTGGAGGTGGTCTCATCATTTAAAATAAATAATAATTATTTCTAGTTTGAAAAATATGTGGAATAATGAAAATAAATTAGATAAGAATTTCAAATAAATGACTAGTGTGAAAATTATTTGAAAACTTTTGGAAAAGAAAAGAGACATAATGTCCAGAAAGCTTCTGGACAATTCATAATTTTAGGGAATTGATTTTTAGTTAACAAAAAAATGTCATGACTTATTTCATACTAAATTCATTGAAAATTCTGTTTTGACAAGGAAGCGAATAAATATTCCTCAAATCAATTACAATTGTTTATTCAAATATTGATTAACTACAAGTATTTTTTTAACTTTATTTATGTACTAATTTTGTCTCATAATATTGCATTTGCATACACATTTCATATATTAAATGTAATAATTATAGGATAGGTATCATTTTTTTAGTTACTTTCATAATTTTATTTTCATGTTTTTAAATATGAGAAAAATGTTTGTCAATACTATGGAGTTTTAATGCTTTTATTTTGGCTTGGCTGTTAATGATATATAAATGGGTCAATAACATTTTTAGATAATGATTGTTATATTGAATTCAACCTTTTTTTTCTTCCAACAGAAAATTTCTTCTCTAGAAGCACAACTAGAAGTACTTAAAGAAGAGAATGCAAATTTAAGAAAGTAAGTTTCTTTTTTTCTGTTTTTTTTTTTTTTTTATTATTATTATTATTATTTGTTGGTGTATTTATCTTGTACTGATACATAAAAGACTAATTTTGTGGGGTTCAACATCTTTTTTTTTTTAATTCCTTTTTTTTTTCTTTTTTTTTTTTTCATGAAAAAATACAAAAAAGTGAGTCAAGTTTTTTCATGTCCAATAGGAGAAAATATATATATATATATGTGTGTGTGTAATTGTCATCTTTGATAATGGCTTATGTAAGTCGAAAGCTTGGATAGGATTAGAACATGTATCAATATGGTGATTTCCCTTCGTCTTTTAATGATAATGTTATTAAGCTTATCAGACAATATGAAGACTAATCTTGTCTATATTATTTAATGAAACATGCATCAATGAAAAATTGCTGCCTAAATACACACAATATATATATATATATATATATATATATATATACAAAAGGAAAACTCTGTATTGTCCTTTTACAGATATACTATATCTGAAATTTATATATTTTATATCAACACTTAGAGGCGACAGTCTGTTTACACGCAATCATCTAGCATGAAACAGACTGTTGCCACTAAGTGTTGACATCAATGTTCACTTTTATATTTACACATGCTCTATCTCTGATATTGAGCACTTTATCCCATAAATATAGCACACCTTGAGAGTATATTTCTTTTTATATATATATATATATATAGTTTTAAGGTATGTTATATTTATGGGTAAAATTGCTCAATATCAGTGATAGAGCATATGTAAATATCGAAGTTGTCACTGGGATCAACACCAAGTGGCAACAGTCTGTTTCATGCTTCAACACAATTTTCAGGCCATGAAGATTGCTATTGAAGCATGAAACAGACTGTCACCACTTGTTGATCCCAGTGTCCAATTATATATATTTAGTATAAAAAAATTGTTACTATGGGTAGGGTTTAATGACTACGTTAAAACTTGCATTCACTCTAATGTAAAATATATAGTCACACAGTAAATTCTGAAGGTAAGTCATAGAGATCAATAAAATACTAATTATAGTTGTATTTCAGTATCAACAGTATTTGAAATTGGTAGATATAGGCAAGGTTTTTTCTTTTCTTATTTCTGCCCACTGACTTTATTACTATTCCTCTAGAGTATTAATAATTTTCTTCACACTAGATATTTCTGATAAGGAAGGAAAAATTAATAATTAAAGACAACAGTTTTCAAATTTTTTTTTTTTTTTTTTTTTTACTTTAAACTTGTTTAATCAAGTTTCAGCAAATCATTTATTTTATATTGAAAGTCAGGAAAGAAGAGATTATCAATGGCAGAGAATTAAATCAACTGAATAGGGATATTAAATTATTTACATACATGCATACACACAATAACTTTACCATAACTATTAGTTTCATGCTTTTTGTGAAAGTAATAGTAAAGTTCTTTTGTGTTTTTTGTTTAATTTACCCATTTACAGAAGTTTCATGCTTAGCGATTTTTCAAAATGGGTAATTGTTTTTTAATAGCATTCACAAGATTTGTTGTTGATTTCATGTTTTTTTAAAGGAAAAGCATCAGTGTGTCAACAGTTTGATAAAATTTCATTCCTTTTATTTATCAGCTTATTCAGTTTCTAAAAATGTTACTTTTTATAAGTATCAAAAAGCTCTTAAAGGAATGTAAAATAGAGCACTCTTATATCTATAAGAAAAGGAATATACAAATAATAATAATATATATACACACACAATTTTGGTTGCAGTATCGTTGTTGCTAAAATTGCTTGATAAAACACATAGAAGAATCTGCAATATTATAGGCCCAGACGAAGCATATTGACTTCAGTCACTTTCCCATAGTTGCAACGTAATTTTCTTGCGCTTTTTCTATAAATACTTTCATGGTAATTGTTCAGATGGTCTTTACTTTATTGTACCTAGACTTTATGAATTTAAATGCAGTAATAGATTGGCGGCAAAGTCTCATCTTTTTGCAGTTGAAATTTCTAGATGCAACTAACAGTTACTTTTATTGCACTTCTCACTTGTGGGACACTCTTCCAACTTCTTGCTTTTCTTCAAAAATTTAAATGCAATGTCAATCGTTATCTTCTGTCTTCTTAATTCCTGTTCTTTTATTGTTCTCTCCTCTTAATAATGTTTTTTTTTTTCTCATATGCTCTCACACCCAGTAATGCCTTGTGTTTTTAGTCATTGGTATGATGATAAACTACATCCAGCAGCAAGGCCTCTGATCAGGAGATTGGAGATTTTGAGGAGTGTGGAACCACCTCTTAATTGCTGTTGTTCCCAGGTCTACTCTGACCCAGGGAGGTAATACCTGTTGGGGTCCCCGCTATGGGCAAATTGTGAATCCCCAAATGAAACAAAACACTATGAAAGTATAAAAATATTTTTTTTATAGCAAAAATACCAGCAATACATTTTATATATATATATATATATATATATATATATAAACAATGCCTCTTTATAGTATATATTTAGTTGAAGCCATAAAATTGTGTTCAAAATATTAGATTTCAGTATTAAATAACCCATAGAGGTTGATATGCCGCTAAACAAACAGCCAACAAACATAAAAGAACTTTCATAGCATTAATCCGTATAATATTCTACCCAAACTAAAAACTTCAATGAAACTACAACATAAAACCAACATATATAACCGCCTCTACTAGTTATGTTCACACAAACATGTATATGCACAAAAGCTGAGTGTCATCTACGATGTATTCAACTGTGAAAGCAAAATAACATACATTTATTATTTCAAAGCTACCAAGAAAATTAAATTTCCGCATTAAATGAAAGAGTTGATATGACATTAAACAAACAAATCAAATCAAACCCTTGCATCTTAGTGGCTTTATTACCTTGCTTGGAATGAAATGCTTTTAAAAAAAAGCTATAGAATGTTAAATGAGATTGACTAAATTAATCCTCTAGATACACTGAATGTCAAAAAATTTTTATTTAAAGCTGAACATTAATGTATCTTTAATGTTTTCAATGTGTAAGTGTAACCTGCATTTATTATACTTCTCCCTCCCCTCACATAAATAAAACTGACTCCATTGATAAAATCATTAGTAATCTGAAGAAGTCTCTTTTAGTGATGAAACAAGTTATGTTAAGGTTATCGGAGTTTTTATTTTTTCATTTTGTTATTTGATCCCACCCCCTAGTTTTATGAGCATGTCGCCAAGTGGTTAGAACATTCACTTTCCAACTATGAGACCCGGGTTTGAATTTTATTGTGGTCAATTTATCAGGAGGGTGACTTCTTGATATAGGCTTGGGGGGGGGGGGGACAATCCCAGAATTTGACACCTATGTAAGGTGCCTGAAAATGACACCATGGGTTGAACCAAGATATGTGAATGAAATTGGGAGCCGTCGATGGTTATGCTAGCACAAAGTCACAAGTCATTGTCAATGAGGATTTGAGTGTACTGGCCTTCTTCCAGACTGTTGATCACACCAGATGATGCACTTTTGATCAAATTTTACACATCCTCAACCCGACATGGTTTTTAACTTTCTAGTCCATATCTAGGGATATCTATTATTTAGTTAACCCAATTATTACTCACTCTGTTTCCACTGAGTCCAAGTCTGCACTGCCTGACCCAATCTCTCTTCATCAGGATCCCTCAAAAAGAACCCTTTCCAGCAATGTTGGCAACAACAGTACTGAAATCAAAATTGTGTTTACACATGTTTACCGCCTTCATTAATTGCTGTACATGTTCTATTTTTACAGAATAATAGAAGACACTGATTATGTACAAACCATGGAAGCCTCAAATGTAAGTAATTTCATTTCTTTTTTCTTTTTTTTTCTTTTTTTATAAATATAATTGAACCTTGGATCATGTATACCTCTCTTCATGAACAAATCTGTTTATGAACAAATTTTCCAAACAAAAATTCTCTCAGTGATGAACAACAGCTCAAGCAATGAGCACACAAGCCAGCACAATATAGGTCAACAGACCTGGAGTATTGGCAGGAGAGTGTCAGTTGTGCTTTCACTCCATACACATACCTGCACAAATTCACTGTGCCTACTCTTGAATTTCATTGTGTTTTGTTTATATATAAAATATTAAATAAGGCAATTCTTTAAATAATGACCAGCATTCATATTTATGATTGGTTATTGCAATATTTTGTTAAAGTTGTTAAGCTCAACTATTTAATGATGTGGTAGGGGGAGTTCTTAGGATATTTTATTGCCATAGAACTTGCCATGAGCTTACTCAATCATTAACCATGAAATTTTCTTTGATTAAAACTAGTGTGTGTGTGTGTATATATATATATATATATATATATATATATATATATATATGATATGATATGTAATTTTGTATAATTTTATATATCAACAAACAGTATTTAGAAAGCTAGTATGACAAATTGGAATAAAGTTTTTGTGACACATTTCATCTGTTACAATTTCAGCGGACTGGGCTTTTTTTGATGTTGCCATGTTTGCATATGTGCATGAAACGGGAAGCTGAAAGAATTTTTTTTTTTTTTTTTTTTGAAAACACTTTTTTCCAATTTGTCATAGTATTTTTATATATATATATATATATATATATATATATATATTTATATGAGCAGTGGAAAGTGGTCAATATCAGTGCTTGAGCTAACAGAAGTTTGTGACCATCAGACAAACTGGTTTATTTTTTCAAAATGTACCTATTCTTATTTGTATTTAATTTTTTCTGTTAGATTTTGGAATTTCCTGCTGATGTTTGTTTTTTTTTGTTTTTTTTTACGGTTTTGTTGTATGGTGGGTTAAACCAAATTATATTTCTTTTTCTGCTTTTCCATTTTGGTTGTGGTGATGTGTATTCTAGCTGTTGTGTGTATCCACTTTTCTTTAGTGCATTGTTATATGGCATTTTTTGTCGTTAAAAATGCTTATGTTGGATGAGTTGTCTGATAGTCTGCGGCTGATGGAAATGGGTATATGCTTGATTGTTGAGGGTGGATGGCTGGAGGATGTATGTATGTATGTATATGGAAATATCATTATCCTTTTTATATGGTTCATAGTTTTCTTTGTCCAGGTTGAAGGTGACATCTAGGAAGTTTATTATTCTTGTATTTGTATTTATTTCAATTTTTGAATCCAATTGTTTTTAGAACATTTAATATCTTTTTCCTAAATCTATTTTGGAGCCATTAGGTTCTCTTATTAGAATTAGGCCGTCGTCTGTATATAGGCTCTTGTCTTTTACTTTTTCT